AAAAATGTATATATATAGATGTACATATTTTCAAATCAAGCAACAACAGTTAGCCGACCGAGCTTAAAGATCCACCACGGTTGTAAACCGAACAAGAAAAAGCATCGAGCTAGGCTATGACGATGCACATATTTAATCTGGGGGCACAACCGAGCTAAGGAATATCGAGCAAGGCCTAACACAGGCACTCTAGGCCAAACAATAATTTTGAATCCAACCCACGAAGCTCAAATTAAGTTATAACCAACCGAACCCCAAAGTTGGTGACAAAATTGGCTTCCACTTCTTTAAACGTAAGTGCAAGCCAGGGGACAAATGAAGTGGATAACAATTAACCAAGTCTTGGTGCTCAGCCCAATGCTAGGCCCACTTTGAGGTTGGGCTAGGTTGGAGCTCGACCCTATGGCCAACACCTGCTCTGAAGCAGGACAATCATTGGAGTTCAGCTCAATGCACAAGCACCACTCCAAAGAGGATACTAGGAAGTTCAGCCTAATATGCAAAGCTCGCTTCGAAGTAGGCCAAGCAACAAGTTGGACCTCCAGGTTGGACAACCATACCGAAGTGGACCAACTAAGAGAACGCCAACACATCGAAAGTCTTTCTTGAGCTCACAAGACACAAACAACTCTGCTCCTCTCCCTCTATCTAACAAAATGTGGAGACATAGAGGCATAGAGGGACAAGGCATACATACGACAGACCTGCACCTGAGTGTCAGGTGGAGTGGTCCCTCCTCTAATGGGAGACATCACAAATGAGATAAACATGACAGACTTGCAACTGAGTATCAAGTGGAGTGGTCATCCTCCTCCAATGGGAGATGACCACGAACAAGACAAATATGATAGATGGCAGAGAGAGAATGTCTTAGAGGATAAGCAACCTCCTCCTATAAAAGGTGAGCACTATTCATCCTCAAGGCATCTGAAATCTACACTCTCAACAAATAAACTCTTTGATTCTTTCTTCTTTTTCTCCCCTAGTCCCTGACTTTACCATTGGAAGGGTTTCCAACCAAACCCCGGTAGGGCTGCCTCACCGTTTGTTACTTTGTGCAGATCTTCACTTCCCAGAGCACGCTGTTCTTCCACAAAGTTCTACCCCTCATAGTACAAAAATTACCCCTGCATAATGTCGGTGGACATGGTAATGATAGTAGTAGTGGCGGTGATAGTTGATATGGTGGACCGACGTTGTGGATGTGGTGGAGGCTCCAACAGCAACAACGGTAATAAATAACGAAACCAAAAATGAGAAGAGAGCGATACAACATAAAATAAATTAATTAATTAAAAAAAAACAAAAAAAAGGCTGGAGAAAAGTTTAGAGTTTTGGAATTAAAAGGGCATTCTTGGCCATTGATATTAAAATTTGTCCAAATGCTATTAGTATTTCAAATTCTGGGGACTTTAACTAGCAAATGGACATAGATGATGTATCCATAATATTTTCAAAACAAAACACATCACTTTTTATTGGCAAATTTTATTTGCATATCATACAAACTCTTAATACATACTACAAATTATGTTCGGATATAAATTTTTGAACAAAAGTTAAATGTTCAGATTTAAAATTATGAACAAAAATACATTATTCAAATTTACATTCCGTTAAATTTTTTATATCCGAACAATTGTTTTGTGTTTATAAATTTATATTCCAATATTTAACTTTTATTTGAAAATTTATATACCAATACTATTTGTGGTAGGTATTGAAAGTTTGTATGGTGTGCAAATAGAATTTTTTCTTTTTATTTATTTGGGATAATTACAACCCAGTAAAAATTTGAAAAATTATTTATATATTAATAAAAAATTTATAATTTTAATTATTAATATTTATAAAATTCATCTTTAATTTGTAATTATTTTTTTAAAATATCACTGAGAAATTTTTTCTATTTATTTCAACAATTATTTAACATTTATATTACTTTTACAACTTCTTTTTTTTTTTAATACAAATTCTGACATTCAATAATATTTCAAAAGAACATAGTTACCATTTTAGGGATTTTTATTGATAAATCCCATTTAGAAGTGTTTTAACCTAAAAAGTCCATGAACAAATTTATTAACACATTTAGTCCCATGTATGTATAGTTTTATTCCATAAAGTCCTTTTTCTTGATTTACACTCTTTTTTTAGACTCTTATGCCCTTATATGTAATTTTGATACCCTTACAAATATTTTTTAAACAGTTAGCAATTTTATGATGTAAATATTCATATATTAACATTCACATTGGTAAGAATGTAAAATTGGCCCGTGGCCTGTGGGCGGTCCGAAGATCACCCCTGGGCCGGAGCGGGCCCGGTCCGTTAACAATGTGAATATTCACATAGACATGTTAACATTCACATTGATAGAAGTGTAAAATTGGCCCGCAGCCCGTGGGCGGCCCGAAACCCGCCCGTGGCCTGTGGACTGCCTAGGGTTGGCCCGGCCCGGCCCGTTGACAATGTGAATATTCACATTAACATATTAACATTCACGTTAATAGGAGTGTAAAATTGACCCGCGGCCCGTAGGCGGCTCGAAACCCGCCCGCGGGCCCGGCTCGGCCCGTTTACAATGTGAATATTCACATTGACATGTTAACATTCACATTGATAGGAATGTAAAATTGGCCCACGGCCTGTGGACGGCCCGAAGCCCGCCCGTTGCCCGGGGTGAGGCGGGCTGTAAATATTCATATTTTAACATTCACATTGGTAAGAATGTAAAATTGGCCCGTGGCCCATGGGCGGTCCGAAGCTCGCCCCCGAGCTGAGGTGCGCCCGGTCCATTGACAATGTGAATATTCACATTGATATGTTAACATTCACATTGATAGAAGTGTAAAATTGGCCCGCGGCCCGTGGGTTGCCCGGGGCGGGCCCAGCCCGGCCTGTTGACAATATGAATATTCACATTAACATTCACGTTGATAGGAGTGTAAAATTGACCCGCGGCCCGTAGGAGGCCCGAAACCCGCCCGCGGGCCCGGCCCGTTTACAATGTGAATATTTACATTGACATGTTAACATTCACATTGATAGGAGTGTAAAATTGGCCCGCGGCCCATGGGCAGCCTGAAACCCACCCGCGGGCCGGACCCGGCCCGTTTACAATGTGAATATTCACATTGACATGTTAACATTCACATTGATAAGAGTGTAAAATTGGCCAGTGACCCGTAGACGGCTCGAAGCCCGCCCGTTGCCCGAGGCGAGGCAGGCTGTAAATATTCATATTTTAACATTCACATTGGTAAGAATGTAAAATTGGTCTGTGGCCCGTGGACGGTCCGAAGCTCTCCCTGGGCCGGGGCGGGCCCGGTCCGTTGACAATGTGAATATTCACATTGACATGTTAACATTCACATTGATAGAAGTGTAAAATTGGCCCGCGGCCTGTGGGCGGCCCGAAACCCGTCTGCGGCCCGTGGGCGGCCCGGGGTAGGCCCGGCCCGGCCTGTTGACAATGTGAATATTCACCCAAGCCCAACTCTAGGCCCAAGCCCCTTGGCTCGACCCACCGGGGCACCCAAAGCTTGAATACCTTTGTGCCAGGGCTAGGGCTAGGGCCTAGGCCTAATTTTTTGGCCCGTGGGCTGGTACGGCCCGGCCCGACCCGAATTTTGGCAAGCACCCACGAGGTATACGTGGGTTGGCCCTAACCCGGGCTAGGCCGAGCCCCTACACATTGATGATATGAACATTCACATTGACGATGTGAACATTCACATTAGGGGTATTTTGGTAATTATGTCACCCATAGGAAGAAAATAATGTGGACTAAATGGAACATAAGTACATGAAAAGGGTATTTTGGTCTTCTTACCTCAAATAGGAACATTCACATTGACGATGTGAACATTCACATTAAGGGTATTTTGGTAATTATGTCACCCATAGGACTTATAGAAACATAAGAAAATAATGTGGACTAAGGCCTCGTTTGAGAACAGGCTAATTTAGTAACTTTTTGGCTATTTGGCTAAAATATGAGCTAAAAAAAATTAGTATGTTTGGGATGACTTTTTGGCTTTTTACGAAAAGACGTACAAAAAGTAGAGAGAAAAGAGAATCTTTGACTTTTTGGTATGGGTTGTTAGTTTTTTGGCTAATTTAGTAACTTTTTGACTTTTTGGCTAAAAATAAGGGTTCCCAAACGAGGCCTAAGTATTGCTCATTGGGTATTTTGGTAATTATGTCACCCATAGGACTTATTAAAACATAAGAAAATAATGTGGACTAAATGGAACACAAGTAAATGAAAAGGGTATTTTGGTCTTCTTACCTCAAATAGGAACATTCACATTGACGATGTGAACATTCACATTAGGGGTATTTTGGTAATTATGTCACCCATAGGACTTATTAAAACATAAGAAAATAATATGAACTAAATGGAATATAAGTAGATAAAAAGAGTATTTTGGTCTTCTTACCTCAAATAAGACCTAATGAAATAGTCAAAAAGAATATGAATTGAATAGAATAAACCTCTTAGAAAAAAGATTTATCAAAAAGGGTCCAGCTTGTCTCAAGTTGAGATCAAGACTGGACCTGTCCAGTTCGGTTTATGGGGCCCATTTTTTGGCCTATTTTGATAATCCGAACCGTTCATTGTGTAGAACTCATCGAGTACTATATGTCTGTAAAAAATCACGTTGATCGGATATCAATAGTTATGTGATCAAATCAGTTTTGTATAAAAAAAATAGACGGTGAAAAATTACGGTTGATAAAAAAACTGTTTTGTTCACATAGCTATCGATATCCGATCAACGTGATTTTTTACAGACATATAGTACTCGACGAGTTTTACACATTAAATAATTCGAATTATCAAAACAGAACCCATGATAAACTTTTACGAACCCAACAATACGGTCTAACTCGAACTGGACCAAAGTCACTAAAAATGCTGCCAGCATTTTACCATGCTTATTTATCCCCCAAATAATAAAAATATCCTAACTCCTAACCAATCACAAAAAAACAGAATCTGAAACCTCTTCCATTTCCACCTCATATTTTCAAAAACCCAGCTTACACAAACAAACAATGGACACTCTGAAATTTTCTCATTCCTTGAAGATGGACTCATCACAGAGAGTCCCAAACTACCCATCATCATCATCATCACCACAACCACCATTCGTTGTATAATATAAAACACTTTTCAACACAAAACCCTTTTGATTATGTCTCAACAACAACCCCAAATTCCAAGCAATCTTCACAAGAAACCCACAACTCTCCCTGATTTCATCCTCACTGCTCTCTCTCTCTTCCTCCTTGTTTCTTCCTCCAAACCCAACACCAATCTCCTCCCCAAATTCCCTCCTCCAATCTCTTTCTCCCTGAAAACCCTTCGTCGTTTCTCAGAATCCACACCATGTCCCGCAAAAACCGTAACCCTAGCCACCGCTTCGCAACACCTCAGTCCCTCTCCGACTGGCTCAAGCCCCGATTGCCCTCCGACTCCTTCGCTTCTTGGGGTGTCAAGCCCGGCACCAAGAACGTCCACAATCTCTGGCTCGAGCTCTCCGAGGGTGAAACCTCTCTCGCCGACACTAACCCTCCAATCCGAACCGTCGAGGTCGTGATTGTTCGAATTATCGGTAAAGATGGGCGATTTCTCATCGAATCGCACCAGGAATTATCGGATGGGACTGTTCGGAATCGGTGTCGGCCTCTTTCGGAGAAGATGAAGCCCGGGGAGACCCTGGATGCTGCCGTGGTTCGGGCGGTGAGAGAAGAGCTTGGATCGATAATTGGGGGTTTTTTTGATAGTGGGATTGTGAGAGTTGTGCCGAATTCTTATGCAAAGAACGTGGAGGAAAGGAATTCGGTTTCTTACCCGGGTTTGCCGGCTTGTTATGTGTTGCATTCGGTTGATGCGTGGGTGGATGGTTTGCCAGATGGCGAGTTTTGGACTGAAGAAGGGGCGGAGTATGAGAATTCTGATGAAAATAAAGTTGCAGACGAGGCGGTTTCTTGTAAAAAGCATTACTGGAAGTGGGTGGACTCTGATTCAGTTTAACTTTGATATGGGTGGTGAGTTGCGCGCTCTCCTTCCCATTTTAGTTAGGTTTCATAAATTATTCATACTGTGATAGGCATTTTACTATACAACAATGTTTTTTTGATGACCTTTTGCTTAGGCTGGATTTCTGTGAACATGAACATATATATCTTTTACATTAAGCATATATATATATATATAAATACGTCTCGAGAGGTGTGATGACTGAACTGTTTGATTTAGTTTTGAATTAGAGTAAAGTTCTTCATTGCTTCGATTGTTGAGATTTGTGTTTCCCTTGTCATTCGGGTTTTAATTCTTTTTTTAAGATTGCACTTGGGACTAAATCAAGGTAGTAATTTGATAATGGTTCCTAGTCTCCTATGCAACCATTGTTCATTTCTGTTTTCTTTGTCTAACTTCTTTCATTGGGCAATCCAATTTTTTCTGGAATTTGTGGTCAAGCATAGATCACTTGTTTACAAAAGCTTGCATTATCTGGATACCTGGATAAATTGTTTGAATAGAAACAATACGTTGATGGTAGAACTGCATTTCAAATTGGTGGGCTTACAACTACCTTATTACTAATTTACTACCCGGTGAGATGGATGACAATGGCTGATTTGGTCACTATAGTAACTTTTTGGATCTTTGCACAGCCACTGCAAGGTATTTGATTGAAATTTGGCCATAAAGAAGCCGAATGTTCTGCGCACTGAATGATTATATGTAGAGTACCCTGGCCCACATCGTTTGGTAGGAGAAGTTACTGGCTATACAAATGAGTTCACATCTCTTTCTATTAATGATGCATTTTGAAGTTGTAAGGACTAGCCTAAAGTGAATATCATCGTTAGTGCTTGGGATGAGAGCATTAGAAGTGGTATTACTTTGGTTAGTTTTGAGTGGTATTCTCATTTATTTTTTATCTTTGTTCAAAATTTCAGTGAAGGTGGCAAGGTCAATAGAAAAATTGATGAGGGATTTTCTTTGGGAAGGCAAGGAGGGGTAAAAAGGACCACTTGGTGAATTGGGAGGTAGTTTCGTTATCAAAGGAGAAATGGGTTTTGGCCATTGGTAACATTGTGGCTAGGAACATGACTCTTCTTAGTAAGTGGTTATAGAGATTTTCAATTGAGAGTGATTCACTATGGCATTTTGTTTTTAGAAGCAAGTATGAGACTCAAGATAATGGTAGGGATTCACAGGTGGTTATGAGGGGTAATTGTCGTGTTCCTTGGAAATCAAGTTCTCAAATCTATACATCTTGGTCTCATTTAGTTGTCTGTGATGGTGGAGAGCTTGTTCGCTTCTAGGAGGATGTTTGGATGGGCCACTCTTGCTTTGCTTTAGATTTTTCACATTTATATAAAGTGGCTCGGTCTCATAATTCTTCTATTGCTTCCATGATTTGTTCACTCTTGGCTCTAATTTTTTGGAATTTCAATTTTTCTAGGAATCTTAACGATAGGGAGGCTACACAAGTGATTTCTTTGTTGTCAAGACTTGATCATCTTTCTTTAGTTCCTCTTTTAGAGGATAAGAGAGTTTGGTCTCTTGATGGTACCTTTTCTTGTAAATCTTTTTTCGATAAAATCATTGATAATTCTCATGTTCCCCAGCTTCTTTTTTGCAAAAGAATTTGGAAAGTTTGTGTTCCTCTACAGGTGGCTGTCATAGAGGCATATTGAGAAATGATACATTGCAAAAAAGGAGAACTAATCGTTTTCTAAATACTCAGTGGTACATTATGTGTTGTGAGGATGATGAATCCTTAGATAATTTATTTTTGCACGGTCCAATTGTTTTGAGTCTATGGCACAGATTGATTTTTTTGTGGAATGTTATGTTGGCACCAAAAGGTAGTGCACAAATGCTACTAATTGACTTTCGTGCTATGGGAGGTTTGAATAGGGCCAAAGTGGTATAGTCTTGTGCTGTTTTTGCAACTTTTTGGGTTCTATGATTGGGAAGAAATGCGTGGTTGTTCGGAGATAAATCTTGGGAATTAGACTGGTTGTGGGATAAAGTTTGTCATTTGACTTCCTTTTGGGGAATTCTCTCTTTAAGGGGGTTCTACTATTTTTGTTAGTTAGGATCTATTAGTTAGAGATTGGTTGTCGGTAGGGGTTTGTGCGGTGCAAGTTGGTGCAGTTTAGGAAAAAAATAGAAATCGTATGGCGGATGGCGGATTGATAAAATGGTATTTAGAAATTGCCATTTTTCTTATCAAAAATAGGTAGTTGGTTGACAAATAATGGCGGTTTTAATTTGGCGGCTCGGATTAGCGGTTTATTAAAAAATATAATTCAAATTACAAAACTTAAATCAAAGAACAAAAAGATCTAATTTATAAATGACTAAAATAGTCAAAATTAAAATAGATATTCATTTATTTAATCTATTTTTGCAGCATAAATGATATACAAAATTGTACCAAACACTCTTGCACATATTCTTAAAAAAAACTATATAAGCAGATAGAACAAGCTAAACCAAACACGGCCAATATCTTATGTGACAATTGTCCATTGTAGGACTTTGAACTTGAGCCGCATAGTGTTCATAGGTTGGAAGTGTATTATGTGTTACTAAATAAATTGATTTGCCTAAATTGAAGTTGGTTTTATGCTTATTTTTTTAAGATAAATAAATTTTTTTCTATAAACAAGTAAAATAACAAGTAAAATTTTCTATTGTATTACTAACCTGAATTTCCTGTTCCTACAAAAACTGACACCTTCAGAATTCTATCTTGGTTGCTTTCAGCTGCATATGGGTTTTAAGTGAATATATTTGTATTAACATGAAGGAAACCATATGAAACTATAGCAAAAATAACCGTTCAAAGTCCTATATGACAAGAACAAGCAAGTTAAATAGTTTGGAATGTTTTGATATGAAGGAAAAAATCAAATAACCAATTTCATTGGCAATAAATGTCATAAGCACATGAACATGATAAGTTTTCTCTTATAGGCATATTGTCAAACACAGTGTGTGCATGGTATACATATTAACAAACATTGATTTAACACACAAACGTACAAATCCAATACCAACATCTGCAAACAAAAGAAATTGAAAATCATGTACAGCAACTATATTATATATATCTACCCATTCGCTTCTCTCTCTCTCTCTCTCTCTCTCTCTCTCTCTCCAAGATTCTGAGCCATCATATTCAAGAAAGCTTGAAGAAAAATGTCTGGAGCCACAGACATAGAGACAGTGATAGAAAGAGAAAAACGATGAAGAGCGAGAGCGACGTACCAGTGAAGAGCAGCGGCGGCGACAAGTGAAGAGCAACGGCAGCGGCACGGTGGCAGCAACGCTAGTGGCGCATGGTGGCGTCGATCAACAAGTAAGGAGGAGCAATAGGGGAGGCGAAGAACAATCAATGAAGACCAACGGTTGGAATATAATCTGCATATGTATATATATTAGCTGGAAGGGGAAATGGAATTAATGGCGGGTCGCGTCAGTTGATCTAGTGGGTTGGCTTTCACAAACCGCCACCCGTGCCGACCCACCCTCCTTGGATCCTCCACCCGCCTGCCAAGAGCAGAAAAATGTAACGAATTTGCCTTGGCAGTGCAATTCGGTGCGGTTTTGGCAGTATTATGCACAACCCTAGTTGTCGGTGTGTGACATGTAATTTTTTGCTTAAGATAATCTTTGTTTGGGTTATGTATTTCTTACTTTCATTTTCTTTTTGTAAGAGGATGCCTTATCCCCGTTCCTTTTTTGATTTATCAATAAAATCTTTTGTTGTTGATCCCAAAAAATGGTATTATGGTATCACCTGTCTCGTGACCAATGAGTTATAAGGACAGAAGTGTGGCAGAGATGCCACATTGCTTCGGTAGGAATTTTTTTTGGGGCTATATAAATGGTTTTGCATTCCTTCCTAGAAACATGTAAATGTTGGATGTATCAAAAACATGATGCCTTTAGTATTGGAAAGAAGTAAAAATGCATGATAAAATTGCAGTGGTGCTTGTCTAGTGAAATCTAGAGAATTCAATATAATGTATTTAGTGTTAAGCAAGTTTATGTTGCATAAATGTGACCTCTCATTTCTTTTGAATGCTTTGGCGGACTTTGTTAGGTGATACCAGCTAGAAGTAATGCTGCCAATGCCAAACAAGAACTGGATACTTGGATGCATTAACATATTCACATATTAGGTAATTAAGTCACAAATCGACTTGGGGTAGAGATCAATCTAAACTTCTGAAAGGCTTGTGATGTTTGAGCGAAAGCCGAAAAATGGCTTTTTGTTTCTCTGATTTTTGTCTTTAAGAGCAGCTATAGTTTTAATTGGTCCAGCTTTCATTTAGATGTAGTATCGTGGTTTTGGTTGCAGCATTCTCTAGACTAAAATGGTATTAATAGAGGTTCCACTTGTGTAGCGCTGTTTATTTATTTATATATATTATTTTATAATGTTGGAGCTTCCAAAACCTATAGTGAATTGTGAATTACCCAATTGAACAGCAGTTCCTTGTTATTAAGAACTGTGAGGGGAATTCATATTGGATGTTGATGTGATAATTTAAGTTGGATGTCTTAGGTGACACTTTATGGTTGAAATTGCTAGTGGAGTATGCAGTGGCATGTTGATTAGAAACGTAAAGCAAGTTGGAAGCTAGTGGAGAAAAAAAGTAGAAATGGAGGAATACTAGCTTCAGTAGTTAAATTTGGTAAAACTTCTTTTTCTTCTTCTTCTGTTTTTTTAATCCAGGGAAAAAGCGGTAAAAGAATCTCCAGTTGGTCAGGGTAGATTTAAAACCTTTCCTTAGATTATGCAAATTTCATTGAAAGCTCCAAGTATTGCGACTCAAATTTATGTATAAGTTCTAGTTCAATATGCGCCTTACAAAGAGCCAATGTTATTTCATCTCATAGTTGTTGAAATCATATGATTTGCAATTCATATCTTACAATTCAGAGTCAATTCAAACTGTAATTGATATGGATTGGTTGACGGAATCGACAGAGGGCTTGAATCAGTGGATGGATAGATAAATTGACCGAATCAATCTAACCCATTTGTTGAAAATGGTCTCTCAAAGCCTTTTAATGCGGTTAAGATTGGTCCAGACCATTTTCCTCCTGTTCCCGTTCTTTTATTGTATTTTAGACCCTTAGTGCCTCAGACATCAATTTTCAAACAAATTTTCTCTCTCAACAGGGCCCCTCATTGTTGAAATTTGGCTTTAGCTTTTTTATATGATGGACCTCGCATGCTTGTTTTCTGTATTTCAAGTGAATTAATGCACACTGCCACTTACCTGACCTGTTTAACCAGTCACCATTGACAACAAGTTTTGCATTAATATATGTAATAATTCAGCTTTTCAATAGAATTTTTTTTTTCTTGTTTAAATGTGTTTTTCCACCTATTCTAGAAAATTTTACCGAATCTTTTGATTCACTATTATAAGAAAGAGAATATTGATTCATGATTCATATCTCAATATAACAACTATGGTTCATCGTGATCTCAATCAAAAGCCTTGCGACCAATATTAATTGATGGTGCAGAAGCTCCATAGCCTAATAATCAGCCATTATATACTAAGACTCTATGGGACCCTTGTTTAGCAATCCTAATACTGGTGCCCTGATCTTTTGCGGGTGACTGCTCTTTTCAATCTTGTTCACCTCCCCTCTGTGGTATCTGTGTTCCTTTGGTAGTTCAATATTGACTGGTTTGCTCTCTTAGCAATCCATGTGCACATGAGGATAATTTCAAAAATCAATTTGTATGGACCACTGCCGTAAAAATGTCCAAATCACAAGTTTGATACCATGTTTTTCCATGATGGGATAACCTTGTTGCAGCATAAAGGAGTTCTTTCGGTGTTGTGTTGATAGGTCTGTATCATGTCGTATCCATGTACCGTGTTTAAATCCAAGCTTCTTAAAAGTAATTCCACGTTAAGGTAATGTTAAATGGACTCAGATACGAGTATCGGATCCGAGTATGTATCCAAGCGTTAGACCTTCATAAGTTTAAATCTTAGGATTTTGAGATACATATCCAAAATTGAATATGGATACGGAGACATGCCATATGCACATGTATATTGCATGTTATATAATATTCTCGAGTGAAATGTTGTAAATTATGTAAAAATATACTAGAAATTAAATAAGATTCAGGAAAAATATGAAATTTTTATATCTAGACTAAAAATATTGTTTTAGTTACAAATCTGAGTTTCTTCTTACTTTTCATGTATTGTTACAAATCAAAGGATCTAAGTGTCCAAATTGGGTATGAGTGTCGGACACATATCTCACACCTTTACCTATGTCATATCTAGTGGACACGACACATGTACTGTGGGGGAAATAAAAAAGTCCATGTAACATAGCTTTATGCTGTGTTTGGTTGGGAGATTTGGACAGGAATTTGGAAAGAAAAAGAAAAAAGGTGTGTGAAACTAGGTGAAATGTAGATATATTTTATTTACATTTCACTTACTTTTTCCGTTTTACTTTCAAATCTCTCATCAAATCTCCTAACTAAACACAGTATTAAGGTACTTCCAAATGTGAACATTTTCTAACTTTGTTTTCAAAATTATCCAATAAAAGGTAGTTTCGTATTATTTGAAGTAACATGTTACAACACAATCTAGTTGCATTATTTTTTTAATGCTTTGTCATGCCAAAATTCTAGTCAGATTTAATTTGGTGTATTTGTTTTTTAAACCTTCGAAGGAAAACTTTTAGTTAAAAAAAAATAAAAATAAAAATAAAAAAAAAGGTAATGATAAATTCACTATTTTGAGTAAAAGTGTACCAAGTTTCGGAGAAGTGTTCCAAAGTGTAAATTGCTCAAGTATTAGTGTTCTACGGAAAGAGACAATGCACTTTAGTAGCACAGCCACAGACATATAATATGACACGGAAACAAAGGGATGTAATCGGTTTAATACGGTCGGCATTTAAGTAAAAAATTACAACAAATCGATAATGTCGGTTTAATTATTTTGAGCACCGATACAGACCGCTTCTTACATGAAACCGCACCGAACCGAACCAATTGAAACGGTTCGGTTTGATACGGCTTAATCAGTTTAGAATTTTTCAAAACTTGAGTCACTTTTAAATATAATCATTAATCTATATAAAAATATTAAATTAGTTATTTGTCTACCATTTCAAACATATCCAATCCATCCATTTAATACACATTTTTTAATTCCTAAATTAACAAAAATAAAAACAAAAAAAAAATTTAAAAATACTAAGGTTTCAAGAATAATAAGTTACAGTTAAGATTATATATAATAAGAGTTTACAAACTTAGATTATAAAGATGATAAGGTTAATAATTTATTATACTTATTAATATCATTAGATTATTATATTTTATATATATATATATATATTATAAATACAATATATGTTGAAGCGGTCGGTTTCAGTTTAAATCGGTGCACAAGGTGCTTAAACCGATACCGGACCAAAAATTGAAAAAATTCAAATTTAAAAACCACACAGACCGATTCTTGTTAAAAAACAGACCAAATATAGCCGATTTGGTCCGGTTCAATCAGTTTGGTTTTCGATTTTTCTTACATCCATGGCAATTTGAAAAAATGTAAGACACAATTTGTTTAAGACATGTTAAAAATAAATAGTTTTACAAATTTATTATATGTCAAATATATTATAATTTATTCAAATGTAATGAAAAAAGAAAAAAAGAAACATAATACTAATTAAAACAACAATGATTCATCCCACTAAAAACATCACCACTAATAACACTAATGCATTAAAAAAATAAAAAAAATACAACTCTAAGACCAAAACATCACATCATTAATGGCGGAACCCACTGCCACCTAATTAGTGGGAGCACTAATTAGTGCTCCCAAGCATTTTTCTAATTAAAATTAAATAGTCATAAATTCCATAACGTAAATATCAAAATATCATTCACATAATGTAAACTAATTGTGAAACATTAAAATATACATAATATATTTATCTTATTGTGGTGGGACGTTTCCTGGTTCTTTTTTTTCCAAATAATGAATTGAGGTCTTTGACAACAAGGATCTTGCACAAGAATCAAATTACCAAACAGTCCGACCTGAGCATTAGTATTATTACGAAAAGATTCATTATATAAGTCGTGTTCAGAGAGTTCAAAAAGTGTTGCAAAAGTGTTTGTACAATGTCTAATATTATGAATTTAAATTTTTTATTAAAATATAGTTGAAGAAGTGTCGGATATACTTTTAAAAGTGTTCACAGAGTGTCATCGTTCAACTTGATACACCTCCTCTGTAGAAGTGTCCTCGCTTTATAACTAGAACTAGTTGTGTGACAGTTATGCGAGAAGTTTCAGAACCTTCTTATTGTAACACAGTTACTTGTTGCAAGGGCAAGTTATGTACATGGTCTCCACTGCATACCTTCTCACTCTTTCATCATGGCTTGAGCACAATTTGAAAGTAATTTAAACCCTTCAGCAATCAAATTATATATGTTATTAATTATAATATGCAATATCCTAAACCAAAGCTAAAGTACAAAACTTG